GGGGCATGATTTTGTTTGTTATTTCCCCACAAAATAACTGGTGTTGTCTGTAGGATATCAGACCGTGCATATGACTCATATCTATGACACATACATACGATACGTATCTATGATTCATACACCACACCATACATATATGATTCACTTGATCCCACTGGATTCATATGATCGATATGACTCATTTCATTCACTTGCGTGAGTGACTCGACTCATTCGATTCACACATCACTTGATCCTCACACTGATCGATTCTAGACTTCATAGTTCGTCGATCCTCGATAAGAGCATCGACTCACTTTTCTTCTACTAGTAGCACACACTTTACATCACTTTTAGGACAGTCACTCCCACAGGTTATGACACCCTTCCAATAAAATTCATCACCACCATGGTGATAATTTTTTAGGCGTGATCTCTCCTCGTCTCTACAAACTCTACCGACATAACCCACTTTTCTTTGTTTTGAAATTACCATTGAATGACCCACAAATAACAACAACTTGCAAATAATCCATGAATCTGTCAGTTCTATCTCTAATACTACTAGTAGACATCCTTGGTTCTCCTCCAACCCAAATGGAAGTTTTGATGGGATTGTGGGTTCTTTTGTGGGTTATTTGATTTCACTGTAAAACCCATGTTTCTAAAATGTGGGTTATTTTTCACTACAATTAACCTATTTATTTCTAGGGGAGGAATTCAAAAAGGTGGATGTGTGTATGGGTTCTGGAGGAGAAGGGATCTGTAGTAATACTACTGAGATTTTGAAATGTTTTTGTAACTCCCCCTCAACACCACCACTCTCTCTTGGCAGTTTTTCTCATAATTTCATCTCTGCACCTTGTTTGTAGAATGTACTAAATCAAAGCATACAGCATTGAATCACATGAAAACAACAACAAAATAAAAACTTTTCTTCTCATTCATTTTTCCCTCAAAGTTTCTGCCAAACAAGAAGAAAATCAAACAGTCCCAACCTAAAAATCAAACAATCACACACTAGTAGTACTAGTAGTAGTAATGCTGCCCCTCCTCTTCCTCCTCCTGTTGCTATTACTGGTGCTAGTAGTAGCTGGAGGAGTCCTCCCTGCTCCTCCAGAGATGATAGTAGTGGTGGTGTTTCCAGTTGTGATGATAAGGTTGTCTTCTTAGAAGTGGTAGTGGCTATTTCTGCTGATGTCACCACCTCACTACTCAGATATTTTGCTTGATGATATCATTAAAGAACAACACCTTGATTGTCATGAACTCTCTGATTCATGATCTAATCTTGACCAACAGAAAGATGAATTTGAATATCTTCTCTAGGATTCAGCACAATCCTTTGGAGTTTCATGAGATGATCCCTAGTAGCAGTCCACATACACTGTTTCTGCTGTTAAAGGATGGCAATGAAGAATAATGGTGTGAATATCATTGCTGTGCAATTCTTCCACTCTCTACTGTTACTGCTGCTGTTGACACTGGAAATATCACTTATGATTGTCTTGAACAAGAAAAATTCTAATGGTTGGGTTTCCTTTGACCTTTAGATTGATGGTGGTGGTGGTCCAAGAAAGTGTGGGATCCAACAATAGTTGACAGAGATGAGAAATATACAAGCAGCTTGAAAGGTGGTGACTAGTAGTAGTATCTAAGTTTTCTTTGTCAGGAACACAAGAATCCAGATGATACTAGTATGTTCATGTGACTGATGACAGAAGCCAAGACACTATCATACTAGTACTAATAATGAGCCACTCAAAGAAAAAACAAGGGCTGCTGTACTAATGGAGCAAACTAAAGTAGATCTTCTTTGTCTTGTGTGGCATGCTTATTGACCTATCTCTTGATGATTCTATGATTGCTTGAAAAGAAACAGCCTTCCCATTTGTCCACCAGTATATTCCCAAGAAACCAATCAAGTATGTTATGAAGGTATTGACTATATAAGAATGTAGTAGGCACCCTAGTGATGAGTACTGCTGCACTGGTGCTGGTTTTGTGGGTAGTGGCAGACAAGAATGCACATGGGATGATATTTCCTTGAAACCTTGGACTATAAGATAATGGTTAGTACTACTGAATGTTCATAGACAACTTTCACACTGCATGGATGGAGAGGATTGTGACTTAGTTAATTGAAGAAAAAAACTGATATCATCTGGAACTGTTGTCTAGACACCAAAGAAGATGATTTGCTTGTGCTCTGCAGAAGATTCTCCATTTCCAATACTAATATGAGTGTAGTTGGAAACAAGAAAAAGGTGCAAATAGAATGGATGGATTATGCCACCACACAACAGCCAATGACTGGAACAAGTAATGCAATATATGTTCTTGTCCACCAGACCTCTAGTACATGGCAGGACAAAATGATTGTTGGGTGGGTGCTTGAAGTGCTGGATGTAAGCGTAAGATACTACTAGCTACTAGTAGTAGTAGAGACAAAGAGAAAGTCCAGAGAGCAATGAGGATTACAAAGAAACTTGATGCTCCACAAAACAAAGTATAAAAGGCTTTTTGGTATCCCAGGCACTGATAAGAGTGCAAAGTATTGTTCTACATAACTTTGCAGAAAAATATGATATCTTTTAATTTTCTTCTGGTTGCTTGATGGGGTGGTGATGTATTAGTACTGCTACAAAATTGCAACTGGCTTGATGGTATCATGTGATGACAAGTTTAGAAGGAACAAAAGGTGTACTAAAGACCAAAACATACTCCAGGGAGGAACAAGAAGTTTCAGGAAGATATTCTTAGCATTACATTGGTGAACAAACTTATTGGCATGTATTGGAAAGTTGCTCCATATGATGAAGATTATGAGTCAAAGTGGTGGATGCCTCGGACTTGAGGAATGGAGGAAACTAGTATAATCCTTTTTGTATCTGCTGTGGGATTTGTTTCTTCCTCTTTGTTGTAAACAAAAAGAACAGCATCATTA